AACCATCAACATTCAAGGACAACCTATCATGGTACGGAAGGGAGGAAGAGGTCTCAGAGTACCTGACCCTCCTAGGTCACAAAAAAAAAAGACCTAAATTCCGATCAGGAGATCAGGCAGCAATACGGTAACAACAATTAGCACGGGTTAACGATATGTACAGTATATTCACAAATAGGTTATACGGGGGCGCAACAAAAATTTATCAATTAAAAATACAGTATATTTGTCTACTATCATGGGCGTTAGAAGCAAAATGTGTATAGAGGGAGCTGACGTTGGAAGTAAATCAGGCTTGTCAGAGGTGCAGCAGGCGGAAACTGCCAGCCAGCCCTGTAAATGTTCACAATGACGATAATAAAACCACGACGAAAAGTTGAACATTTGTTGCTTTATCACATTTGTAATAAAGTTTTCTTCGTTATCTACTCAAGCCGTTTCTAAACTTAATTAATTACAACAGTGTCGATAATAAAACCACGACGAAAAGTTGAACATTTGTTGCTTTATCGCACTTGTAATAAAGTTTTCTTCGTTATCTACTCAAGCCGTTTCTAAACTTAATTAATTACAGTGGCAGTTTGAGCTGGTTTCGATGCAGTAAGGGTTTGTTTGTTTTGAATTTCGCGCAAAGCTACACGAGGGCTATCTGCGCTAGCCGTCCCTAATTGAGCAGTGTAAGAATAGAGGGAAGGCAGCTAGTCATCACCACCCACCGCCAACTCTTGGGCTACTCTTTTACCAACGAATAGTGGGATCGACCGTCACATTATAACGCCCCCACGGCTGAAAGGGCGAGCATATTTGGTGGGACGGGGATTCAAACCCGCGACCCACAGATTGCGAGTCGGGCGCCCTAACCACCTGGCCATGCCGGGCCGAGGCAGTAAAGACTAATATAGTTAAAACCACAATGGCGACGAAAATATCAAAATTAAATATTAGGTTGAAGGATAACCAAGTTTTTGTATATTTGTATTTAAAGAATTTTTGTTTTGAATTTCGCGCAA